CATCTTATACGTAATATAACATTTTATTACAATAATTACTATTAGTTGTTCAAAAATTATTTTAAACAATTTATGCCAGTTTATAAATATTAACACTTGATTATACTATCTATAATGGTTTTATTAAAAATTGCTATTAATTGTTTAAGAATGGGTTGATGACAATAATGAATTCTAGGCCCATGAGTACACACTATCTTGCTTATGAGTTTGCTACTTTGCTTTTTAATTACATTATGAATAGGCATTTAACATATTTGTTGTTACTGTTTGAAAAACTTTTTTTCTGATTAATTTTGGTGTTAAGTAATCTTGTTTCATGGTTATTTTAGTGAAGTTATCATTTTTGGGAGAGGCATTCATATAATTTATTAAAGTTATATTCTTAAGTTCCGTGAGGCGCGCATGTCACACCTCGGGTAAATCTATGAAATTGCCTCGTGCCTTTTAAAACAAGAATATAATGACTTGGGGTTTTCATTCTTTCTTTCTTTCTTTCTTTTTTAACTGCAAGTATGCAAATGTTTAATTATTGAAGCTTGTGATGTAATAGAGAATGTTCTTTTTATTTATGATGACGGTATTTTTTAAATTTATGGCGCCTTTAGAGTTTTATTTTGAATGATAACATTCTAGTTGCCTTTCTCTTCTATTTATTTTTTCCCAAAATAACATATTTCTAGTCTATCTATTCTCTTGTTTTTACTTAGTGGTGTCTCTTCTTTTGTTGTTGGTACATTCAATATGATCTGCTTTAAGAAAATCACAGTATATCACCAAGAGTTATTTGTCTAGTCTTTGTCTCGTCTTTGTTATCTTTGTCCTGTTCTGTCTGCATAATTATACTCACACTGGCCTGCTTGGACATGTAAGCCTGTGATGAGATATTAGGAACTTAGGACTTAAGAGAATTTGTTTATCTAAACGATATAACTAATGATTACCCTTATGCTATATATTGAAAACAGAGAAATGGAAGGTGACCGAACTCTTCTTCATTTTGGAGAGTTCCTATCAAAGTTGTATCTTGATGAGTTCATTCCTAAACCACAAGAATTGTTCCTTGAGGCAAAGGAAACATTCAATGACAACACTGTCACGAAGTTTCCAGTTGATTCACGAAGGATTCATTTTTCGTGGGATTCAAGAACTTTTTATAAAATGGGGATCCATGAGATTTCAAAAACAAGTGCCAATGGAGAAACCAACCTCTTATGTCTCAAGAGAGACTTCAACTTGAAAGAATACCTTGCTGGCAAGAAATCAAAGTGGTCGGCAGTTCACACGACGTGGAGCAAAGTAGAGAATATGAAGGAATACAACCTGGAGACTTTATGGGATTTGAATCGATTGGATTCTGAATTAGGTTCAATGATTCAATCTATGATTCAAGCCGTGATCGAGAGCCATTCTAGAGGCATTGTAAATGGGTACCTAGATAACGAAGAAAACTACATCTTTAAGAGAGCTATCAAGATCCGTGGAGTGAAAATTTCAATCTTCACCTGCAACTTGTTGCAAACGATTACAAACAACAGATTTGAGTCATGCCATCCCGAATCCTCCAACCTAGAGAAGAACAAAATGTTGGACATGTTGCATTTAGAGTTTATAATTCACGAAGTCATCATGGGGAAGGAGTATGGTGGATCTCTTTCGGTGGACCTTAAACATTTGATGAATCTAGTGAGCGCATATGAGAGTAAAGGGTGGACTGCTTCAAAACTTCACTTATTAAGTGACCATCCAGCCCTGTGGAGTGCAAATGAAAGGTTGTCCTTTTGGAATAGGCTTTCGACATATAAAAACACAAGTCAAAAGAAGTTTGATATTCTAATTAGCGAAGTTGACAACAAACTGGCTTTTTCAGAAAGGTGGCAGCAAATGATTCCTGCCGGCACTCCATTGGAGCAGTTCCGAAAAGAAAGAGAGTATGAACAATTTGTTGGAGGTCTTGTTAGATATGTGAGAAACTTAATTCAACATGTGCATGATACCGAATTGATAGATGGTCAAATGCAAGGCAAATGCTATAACAAGGATATCTCCCCTTATTATAAAGACCCCGAGTTTCTAGCCGAGATCGTGAGTAGCTGCTTCCCGCTACTCATGATCCAAATACAACATGAGTTTATCAAGGAACATATACAAGATCAAGGTATAATATTTATAATATTCAAATTAGAAATTAGTATTGAATGGCTAGAATGGCTCTAGAATGGCTCTAGAATGGCTCTAGAATGGCTCTAGAATGCCTCTAGAATGGCTCTTCATTATCTAGGTGCCCATTTACAATGCCTCTAGAATGGCTCTCGATCACGGTTTGAATCATAGATTGAATCACTGAACCTAGTTCAGAATCCAATCGATTCAAATCCCATGAAGTCTCCAGGTTGTATTCCTTCAGATTCTCTACTTTGCTCCACGTCGTGTGAACTGCCGACCACTTTGATTTCTTGCCAGCAAAGTATTCTTTCAAGTTAAAGTCTCTCTTGAGACATAAGAGGTTGGTTTCTCCATTGGTACTTGTTTTTGAAATCTCGTAGATCCCCATTTTATAATGAGTTCTTGAATCCCACGAAAAATGATTCCTTCGTGAATCAACTGGAAACTTCGTGACAGTGAGATTCCAATCTTCACATGTAACTTGTTGCAAACGGTTACAAACAACATATTTGAGTCATGCCATCCCAAATCCTCCAACCTAGAGAAGAACAAAATGTTGGACATGTTGCATTTAGAGTTTATAATTCACGAAGTCATCATGGTGGATCCTCCAACCGTAAACATTTGATGAATCTAGTGAGCACATATGAGAGTAAAGGGTGGACTGCTTCAAAACTTCACTTATTAAGTGACCATCCAGCCCTGTGGAATGCAAATGAAAGGTTGTCCTTTTGGAATAGGCTTTCGACATATAAAAACACAAGTCAAAAGAAGTTTGATATTCTAATTAGCGAAGTTGACAACAAACTGGCTTTTTCAGAAAGGTGGCAGCAAATGATTCCTGCCGGCACTCCATTGGAGCAGTTCCGAAAAGAAAGAGAGTATGAACAATTCGTTGGAGGTCTTGTTAGATATGTGAGAAACTTAATTCAACATGTGCATGATACCGAATTGATAGATGGTCAAATGCAAGGCAAATGCTATAACAAGGATATCTCCCCTTATTATAAAGACCCCGAGTTTCTAGCCGAGATCGTGAGTAGCTGCTTCCCGCTACTCATGATCCAAATACAACATGAGTTTATCAAGGAACATATACAAGATCAAGGTATAATATTTATAATATTCAAATTAGAAATTAGTATTGAATGGCTAGAATGGCTCTAGAATGGCTCTAGAATGCCTCTAGAATGGCTCTTCATTATCTAGGTGCCCATTTACAATGCCTCTAGAATGGCTCTCGATCACGGCTTGAATCATAGATTGAATCACTGAACCTAGTTCAGAATCCAATCGATTCAAATCCCATGAAGTCTCCAGGTTGTATTCCTTCAGATTCTCTACTTTGCTCCACGTCGTGTGAACTGCCGACCACTTTGATTTCTTGCCAGCAAAGTATTCTTTCAAGTTAAAGTCTCTCTTGAGACATAAGAGGTTGGTTTCTCCATTGGTACTTGTTTTTGAAATCTCGTAGATCCCCATTTTATAATGAGTTCTTGAATCCCACGAAAAATGATTCCTTCGTGAATCAACTGGAAACTTCGTGACAGTGAGATTCCAATCTTCACATGTAACTTGTTACAAACGGTTACAAACAACAGATTTGAGTCATGCCATCCCAAATCCTCCAACCTAGAGAAGAACAAAATGTTGGACATGTTGCATTTAGAGTTTATAATTCACGAAGTCATCATCGGGAAGGAGTATGGTGGATCTCTTTCGGTGGACCGTAAACATTTGATGAATCTAGTGAGCACATATGAGAGTAAAGGGTGGACTGCTTCAAAACTTCACTTATTAAGTGACCATCCAGCCCTGTGGAATGCAAATGAAAGGTTGTCCTTTTGGAATAGGCTTTCGACATATAAAAACACAAGTCAAAAGAAGTTTGATATTCTAATTAGCGAAGTTGACAACAAACTGGCTTTTTCAGAAAGGTGGCAGCAAATGATTCCTGCCGGCACTCCATTGGAGCAGTTCCGAAAAGAAAGAGAGTATGAACAATCTGTTGGAGGTCTTGTTAGATATGTGAGAAACCTAATTCAACATGTGCATGATACCGAATTGATAGATGGTCAAATGCAAGGCAAATGCTATAACAAGGATATCTCCCCTTATTATAAAGACCCCGAGTTTCTAGCCGAGATCATGAGTAGTTGCTTCCCGCTACTCATGATCCAAATACAACATGAGTTTATCAAGGAACATATACAAGATCAAGGTATAATATTTATAATATTCAAATTAGAAATTAGTATTGAAAGCTGTCACACTGATTTGCCGCTGGTGAGTCTTCCATGGATTTTTCATTTGGTATTGAAAGTTGAGTGAGTTCTTATGGTCAGCCATTGTTGTGAAAATCAGTCAAGGCTACGCCCTGAGGTGAGCCTCATGTATTTTGTCTTTGACAAAAAGCCTCAAGGGTTAAACCTTTCGGAGAAGATATGAGCCTTATGCCCTGAATGTGTGACTAGTGTGCCGCAAAGCATATGCCCTGATGCTCACTTAGACCTTTGCCTCGTGAAAACTAGTCATGTTGACTTAGTTAAATTTATGGGTTGGATTTTATATTGATTTCACACTCTTACTAGTTGTCCCACCCATGCGTTGCATGGGAATACATTCTGTGAAACACCCACACACCTACACACCCCTTAAAGCATCTGTATTTTTTCCTTTAAAAGCACTGATATCTTCAAGAATGTAAAGAAATAACGAAGATACAACAGCTCCCCTGCACCACCACAACAACATAAGACAAAGTGCATTTCCCGTTTCATGCTTTTCTCATTCAAGTTTCATAGAGATCATCTACCTATCATCACAGCCTTTTGGGGTAATTACTACTCACAAGCAATTATCCTTGGTTATATTTTTAGTGTCTTTCTTTTATTTCCTCAAATTCTAGAATTTGATATCTTCTCTTGTCTTTCCTCTTCAAAAGTTCAGGAAAGAAAGTTAATGGAAACAATATTTTCAGTAAAACTTTTATAAATAGGAATAGTAGTTCATGTTGTCATGTTTGTTTAGTAGGGAGGCATTTGATGAGTAAATGGCATAAATGGGACACGTCCTTTATACCAAAGGGGGTATGAACAGATAATGCCCAAACATGTCTCAACTCTCAAGAAGACACAAAGAAGCTCCCCCTCTCTCTGTCTCTCCCCCCACGGATCCCTTTAAACTTCATAGTTATGCTGCTTTAAGACTAGAAAACCATTAATTGGATTCAGTAAATATGATATGATTTCCAATCTATTTTGCATTTGTTATATTTCTGTGACACTTTCTTAAAATTGTCATGGACTTGAGGCTTATGCCTCGAGCCTTACGCATTGCGTCTCCCTCTCCATGGAAAACCACCTCTGGTACTCCCCTCGATTATCACAACAATGGGGTCAGCGCTAAATATCTTTCTCAACTAAATTAGAGGTGTGCTGATTATTGCGAATTAATTTTTTCCTTTTATTTTAAAAAACACAACATCCAGACCTTTGAATTTTTAATTTCATTTCTCTGTTGAAACCCTAAATTGCGAATCTGCTTGGCAGTCACGGCAAGGTTGCATCCACACCAAGAAGCTCCAGGGAGATCAAACATGTTTTAAGCTTCAATGCCTTCACCATTCCTTCATCCAAATGGGAACAGGCTTCAACTGCACCAGTAAACTCGTGAGTTGCCATGTTCTGAGCACTGTAAGTATTTAAACATTTTGTTATCAATTATCATGTTCCGTTCACCTAGTTGGCCAGTCTGTAGCGTGGTCCTGAGGATTAACTTTATTTACTGTCACCTTGTTAAAGGGAGGGAAGAACAAGCGGACCTTGTTGAATCTAACTTGGTCAAAAAAAATCTTTCCTTTGCCATGGCAAAATATTTTTGCTCCTTTGTGGTTATAGAATGGAAAAGGATATTTATTTATTTAGTTTTAAGGGAAAACTATCAAATAAGCCCTTCTACTTTATCAAAAACGGCAATTAAGCCCTTGTACTATAAAAACACCCCATCAAACCCTCCAAGTCATACAAAACACCCAAATTTGACATTTAGGCAGTAACTAACAGGTTTTCCGGTAACCTGATTACCTGGCAACCTATGTGGCATTATTTTTAATTTTTTAATTTTTCTTTTTTAATAAAATCCATCTCTGCGTTTTCCTTTTCTTCTCACAACGTGGACAACTGCAGCTTCTTTTCTTCCTCCAGGTCGCATCCTCCTCAAAATTTTCTTCTGATATTCACAACTATATTCTCAGTATTCCTTTAAGCCGAAGGGCAGTCCCCGATCGGATAATTTGGAAGGGGGAGCAAAATGGAAATTCTCAGTTCGTAGTTGTTATAGAAGACTTACTGGAGAGATTCAACAGGATGGTTGATGGGGCTGGACGTCGGTCTGGAATTGGAAGCTACCGCTGAAAATCAAGACTTTATTTTGGCAGATTTGTAATGGTTCGTTACCAACGATGGTGAACCTTCGTAGACGGCGAGTGGACTGTGCCGTGAAGTGTGGGCTTTGTGGGGCTGAGGATGAATCTCTTCTTCATTTGTTTGTGTTCTGCCCGGTGGCTGCTGGCCTGCTGCAGCGTGGCGCTCGGTGGGCTGGGATTTCTAAGGACAGGAGATTAACTCCTTTATGGGTTGGCTGCAGGGAGTATTTTCCAGCAGGGAAGGGGGAGGAGCTGTTGAAAGTTTCTTGGGGATGTTGGGGTTTGTGGTCCGAAAGGAACAGAAGGGTGTGGCAGGGAGGGAGTCTCGGTCCTGGACAGTTTATGCGTAAGGCAGGGAGCTTTGTGGCAAGTTGGAGATTGGTCCAGATTTAGGAAGGCAGAACGGGGCAAGGAGCATTATGAAATTCTTAACGCTGGAGGCGACCAAGAGAGGGATGGCTAAAAGCTAATGTGGATGCTTGCGTTGGCAGTCAAGGGCTCGGTTTAGGCTGGGTGATCCGTGATGACGTTGGGAATTTTTTAGCAGCCGGTACTCACAGGAAGGAGAGCCGTTGTTCTCCTTTGGAGGCGGAGCTTTTGGGTATCCGGGAGGTGCTAAGTTGGCTGAAGGAGAAGACATGGGACTCAGTGGAAATCGAGTCTAACTCTCTATTGGCGGTTTCTGAGATTCATAATGGCACAAGTATTTCTTCGGGAGGATTGTTGGCGGAAGACATTCGTGATTTGAGCTCGGGTTTTATTAACATTTCTTTTTCATTTGTAAGACGTTCAGCGAACAGGGTTGCTCATGCCTTAGCTAAGGACTATTTTATGTCTGATAGTCAGATTTGGTTTACTTCACCCCCAAGCTGTCTTGAGAACTATTTGTCTTTCGATTTGATTAATGCCAATTAATTTTATTCCTTTCAAAAAAAAGTTATTGGAGTAGATGGGCGGTGACAGAGATAATAGGTGAAGTCGAATGTTGGCGGTTAGTGAAGATTGGCCATAGCAGTTGGTGAAGGCGGACAGCGGCGGCTACGTCATCGATTAGTGGTTCCCTCCGACATTTCTTTGTTCTTGGACTAAAAAGGTTGACCAAATGTGAATGATGGAAGAAGAAAGCAACAATGGGAAGAGAGAGCAAAGATAGAAAAAATAGAGAAGAAAAGCACGCCAGGTGGGTAGCCAGGTAATCAGGTTACCGGAAAACCGGTGAGTTACCACCTAAAAGATAGATTTGAGTGTTTTGTATAAGTTTGAGGGTGTGATTGAGTCTTTTGATTGAGTCTTTTTATGTAAAACTAGTTTTCCCTAGTTCCTTAATTTCTGTCTTACAAACAACTTTTAAAACTAGGGAAAACTATCATATAAGCCCTTCTACTTTATGGAAACTTATATAAAAACTATCATATAAGCCCTTCTACTTACAAATTGTTTACTGAAGATTGAAATTTTCACTCCACTAAACAAACATGACAACATGAACTACTATTCCTATTTATAAAAGTTTTACTGAAAATATTGTTTCCATTAACTTTCTTTCCTGAACTTTTGAAGAGGAAAGACAAGAGAAGATATCAAATTCTAGAATTTGAGGAAATAAAAGAAAGACACTAAAAATATAACCAAGGATAATTGCTTGTGAGTAGTAATTACCCCAAAAAGGCTGTGATGATAGGTAGATGATCTCTATGAAACTTGAATGAGAAAAGCATGAAACGGGAAATGCACTTTGTCTTATGTTGTTGTGGTGGTGCAGGGGAGCTGTTGTATCTTCGTTATTTCTTTACATTCTTGAAGATATCAGTGCTTTTAAAGGAAAAAATACAGATGCTTTAAGGGGTGTGTAGGTGTGTGGGTGTTTCACAGAATGTATTCCCATGCAACGCATGGGTGGGACAACTAGTAAGAGTGTGAAATCAATATAAAATCCAACCCATAAATTTAACTAAGTCAACATGACTAGTTTTCACGAGGCAAAGGTCTAAGTGAGCATCAGGGCATATGCTTTGCGGCACACTAGTCACACATTCAGGGCATAAGGCTCATATCTTCTCCGAAAGGTTTAACCCTTGAGGCTTTTTGTCAAAGACAAAATACATGAGGCTCACCTCAGGGCGTAGCCTTGACTGATTTTCACAACAATGGCTGACCATAAGAACTCACTCAACTTTCAATACCAAATGAAAAATCCATGGAAGACTCACCAGCGGCAAATCAGTGTGACAGCTTTCAATACTAATTTCTAATTTGAATATTATAAATATTATACCTTGATCTTGTATATGTTCCTTGATAAACTCATGTTGTATTTGGATCATGAGTAGCGGGAAGCAACTACTCATGATCTCGGCTAGAAACTCGGGGTCTTTATAATAAGGGGAGATATCCTTGTTATAGCATTTGCCTTGCATTTGACCATCTATCAATTCGGTATCATGCACATGTTGAATTAGGTTTCTCACATATCTAACAAGACCTCCAACAGATTGTTCATACTCTCTTTCTTTTCGGAACTGCTCCAATGGAGTGCCGGCAGGAATCATTTGCTGCCACCTTTCTGAAAAAGCCAGTTTGTTGTCAACTTCGCTAATTAGAATATCAAACTTCTTTTGACTTGTGTTTTTATATGTCGAAAGCCTATTCCAAAAGGACAACCTTTCATTTGCATTCCACAGGGCTGGATGGTCACTTAATAAGTGAAGTTTTGAAGCAGTCCACCCTTTACTCTCATATGTGCTCACTAGATTCATCAAATGTTTACGGTCCACCGAAAGAGATCCACCATACTCCTTCCCCATGATGACTTCGTGAATTATAAACTCTAAATGCAACATGTCCAACATTTTGTTCTTCTCTAGGTTGGAGGATTTGGGATGGCATGACTCAAATCTGTTGTTTGTAACCGTTTGTAACAAGTTACATGTGAAGATTGGAATCTCACTGTCACGAAGTTTCCAGTTGATTCACGAAGGAATCATTTTTCGTGGGATTCAAGAACTCATTATAAAATGGGGATCTACGAGATTTCAAAAACAAGTACCAATGGAGAAACCAACCTCTTATGTCTCAAGAGAGACTTTAACTTGAAAGAATACTTTGCTGGCAAGAAATCAAAGTGGTCGGCAGTTCACACGACGTGGAGCAAAGTAGAGAATCTGAAGGAATACAACCTGGAGACTTCATGGGATTTGAATCGATTGGATTCTGAACTAGGTTCAGTGATTCAATCTATGATTCAAGCCGTGATCGAGAGCCATTCTAGAGGCATTGTAAATGGGCACCTAGATAATGAAGAGCCATTCTAGAGGCATTCTAGAGCCATTCTAGAGCCATTCTAGCCATTCAATACTAATTTCTAATTTAAATATTATAAATATTATACCTTGATCTTGTATATGTTCCTTGATAAACTCATGTTGTATTTGGATCATGAGTAGCGGGAAGCAGCTACTCACGATCTCGGCTAGAAACTCGGGGTCTTTATAATAAGGGGAGATATCCTTGTTATAGCATTTGCCTTACATTTGACCATCTATCAATTCGGTATCATGCACATGTTGAATTAAGTTTCTCACATATCTAACAAGACCTCCAACGAATTGTTCATACTCTCTTTCTTTTCGGAACTGCTCCAATGGAGTGCCGGCAGGAATCATTTGCTGCCACCTTTCTGAAAAAGCCAGTTTGTTGTCAACTTCGCTAATTAGAATATCAAACTTCTTTTGACTTGTGTTTTTATATGTCGAAAGCCTATTCTAAAAGGACAACCTTTCATTTGCATTCCACAGGGCTGGATGGTCACTTAATAAGTGAAGTTTTGAAGCAGTCCACCCTTTACTCTCATATGTGCTCACTAGATTCATCAAATGTTTACGGTTGGAGGATCCACCATGATGACTTCGTGAATTATAAACTCTAAATGCAACATGTCCAACATTTTGTTCTTCTCTAGGTTGGAGGATTTGGGATGGCATGACTCAAATTTGTTGTTTGTAACCGTTTGCAACAAGTTACATGTGAAGATTGGAATCTCACTGTCACGAAGTTTCCAGTTGATTCACGAAGGAATCATTTTTCGTGGGATTCAAGAACTCATTATAAAATGGGGATCTACGAGATTTCAAAAACAAGTACCAATGGAGAAACCAACCTCTTATGTCTCAAGAGAGACTTTAACTTGAAAGAATACTTTGCTGGCAAGAAATCAAAGTGGTCGGAAGTTCACACGACGTGGAGCAAAGTAGAGAATCTGAAGGAATACAACCTGGAGACTTCATGGGATTTGAATCGATTGGATTCTTAACTAGGTTCAGTGATTCAATCTATGATTCAAGCCGTGATCGAGAGCCATTCTAGAGGCATTGTAAATGGGCACCTAGATAATGAAGAGCCATTCTAGAGGCATTCTAGAGCCATTCTAGAGCCATTCTAGCCATTCAATACTAATTTCTAATTTGAATATTATAAATATTATACCTTGATCTTGTATATGTTCCTTGATAAACTCATGTTGTATTTGGATCATGAGTAGCGGGAAGCAGCTACTCACGATCTCGGCTAGAAACTCGGGGTCTTTATAATAAGGGGAGATATCCTTGTTATAGCATTTGCCTTGCATTTGACCATCTATCAATTCGGTATCATGCACATGTTGAATTAAGTTTCTCACATATCTAACAAGACCTCCAACGAATTGTTCATACTCTCTTTCTTTTCGGAACTGCTCCAATGGAGTGCCGGCAGGAATCATTTGCTGCCACCTTTCTGAAAAAGCCAGTTTGTTGTCAACTTCGCTAATTAGAATATCAAACTTCTTTTGACTTGTGTTTTTATATGTCGAAAGCCTATTCCAAAAGGACAACCTTTCATTTGCATTCCACAGGGCTGGATGGTCACTTAATAAGTGAAGTTTTGAAGCAGTCCACCCTTTACTCTCATATGTGCTCACTAGATTCATCAAATGTTTACGGTTGGAGGATCCACCATGATGACTTCGTGAATTATAAACTCTAAATGCAACATGTCCAACATTTTGTTCTTCTCTAGGTTGGAGGATTTGGGATGGCATGACTCAAATCTGTTGTTTGTAACCGTTTGCAACAAGTTACATGTGAAGATTGGAATCTCACTGTCACGAAGTTTCCAGTTGATTCACGAAGGAATCATTTTTCGTGGGATTCAAGAACTCATTATAAAATGGGGATCTACGAGATTTCAAAAACAAGTACCAATGGAGAAACCAACCTCTTATGTCTCAAGAGAGACTTTAACTTGAAAGAATACTTTGCTGGCAAGAAATCAAAGTGGTCGGCAGTTCACACGACGTGGAGCAAAGTAGAGAATCTGAAGGAATACAACCTGGAGACTTCATGGGATTTGAATCGATTGGATTCTTAACTAGGTTCAGTGATTCAATCTATGATTCAAGCCGTGATCGAGAGCCATTCTAGAGGCATTGTAAATGGGCACCTAGATAATGAAGAGCCATTCTAGAGGCATTCTAGAGCCATTCTAGAGCCATTCTAGCCATTCAATACTAATTTCTAATTTGAATATTATAAATATTATACCTTGATCTTGTATATGTTCCTTGATAAACTCATGTTGTATTTGGATCATGAGTAGCGGGAAGCAGCTACTCACGATCTCGGCTAGAAACTCGGGGTCTTTATAATAAGGGGAGATATCCTTGTTATAGCATTTGCCTTGCATTTGACCATCTATCAATTCGGTATCATGCACATGTTGAATTAAGTTTCTCACATATCTAACAAGACCTCCAACGAATTGTTCATACTCTCTTTCTTTTCGGAACTGCTCCAATGGAGTGCCGGCAGGAATCATTTGCTGCCACCTTTCTGAAAAAGCCAGTTTGTTGTCAACTTCGCTAATTAGAATATCAAACTTCTTTTGACTTGTGTTTTTATATGTCGAAAGCCTATTCCAAAAGGACAACCTTTCATTTGCATTCCACAGGGCTGGATGGTCACTTAATAAGTGAAGTTTTGAAGCAGTCCACCCTTTACTCTCATATGTGCTCACTAGATTCATCAAATGTTTACGGTTGGAGGATCCACCATGATGACTTCGTGAATTATAAACTCTAAATGCAACATGTCCAACATTTTGTTCTTCTCTAGGTTGGAGGATTTGGGATGGCATGACTCAAATTTGTTGTTTGTAACCGTTTGCAACAAGTTACATGTGAAGATTGGAATCTCACTGTCACGAAGTTTCCAGTTGATTCACGAAGGAATCATTTTTCGTGGGATTCAAGAACTCATTATAAAATGGGGATCTACGAGATTTCAAAAACAAGTACCAATGGAGAAACCAACCTCTTATGTCTCAAGAGAGACTTTAACTTGAAAGAATACTTTGCTGGCAAGAAATCAAAGTGGTCGGAAGTTCACACGACGTGGAGCAAAGTAGAGAATCTGAAGGAATACAACCTGGAGACTTCATGGGATTTGAATCGATTGGATTCTTAACTAGGTTCAGTGATTCAATCTATGATTCAAGCCGTGATCGAGAGCCATTCTAGAGGCATTGTAAATGGGCACCTAGATAATGAAGAGCCATTCTAGAGGCATTCTAGAGCCATTCTAGAGCCATTCTAGCCATTCAATACTAATTTCTAATTTGAATATTATAA